CACACAGCAAGTAGTTTTCAGTGAATATTTGTGGGTATACAGCAAACAAGCTATCATATAATAAAGTATATTTATTTATATGTATTTATTTTATATATATATATATATATATATATATATATATTTGAGACAGGGTCTCACTCTGTCACTCAGGCTGGAGTGCAGTGGCATGGTCTTGGCCCACTCCAGCCTCAACTTCCCACGCTGAGGTGATCCTCCCATCTTAGCCTCCTGAGTAGCTGGAACCACAGGCGTGTGCCACTATGCCCAGCTAATTTTTTGTTTTTTTTTAGGAGAGATAGGGTTTTGTCTTCTTGCCCAAGCTAGTCTCAAACTTCTGAGCTCAAGCGATCCGCCTGCCTTGGCCTTCCAAAGTGCTAGGATTACAGTGCTAGGATTACAAAAATTAGCCAGGTGTGGTGATGCATGCCTGTAATCCCAGCTACTTGGGAGGCTGAGGCATGAAAATCACTTGAACCCAGGAGGCGGAGGTTGCAGTGAGCGAAGATCATGCCACTGCACTCCAGCCTGGCAACAGAGCGAGACTCAGTCTCAAAAAAAAAAAAAAAATCTAATGAGCAGAAAAATAGTGAAGCATAGCAGAAATGAGCTAGCAGCTACCTTCCAATTTATTAATATAGCATGGTACCTAAGGGAGAGGGATTCCCTGATAGAAAAGTGAAAAGTCACTGTAAAGCAAACATAAAAAATGCTCTTCAATGTAAACATGATGCTCAACTTTATTTATTGAATTAGTGAGGGCCAAGCAAGACTATGCTGCCATAGTAACAAAACAACTAATACAGTTGTTTGACACAATAAAATCTTATCACTCACGCAGTCTGATGGGGTTGAGCAGCTTTCTTCCATCTTGTATTAAAGCTCTGCTCTCTGGATCACGGGCTTTCACAGTTGTGGGAAGTGTGGAGGAGGCATACCAACTACTGTTTGTCTTGGAGGGAAGTAATAAGACCCCAACGTAAATGTATGAGGAGGCCAGGAAACGTAGTTTAGTTATGTTTTCAGGGGGAAAATAAGCTATGGTATGCATGTAGCTTTGCCTCTGCCACACTCAGAATGCAAAATAATAGTAGAGAACAATATCAGTTCCTTCAACCGACTAGCAAATATTCCAAAATATGATTACATGCATTCGAGAGGGTGTGGATAAACAAGTTCTCTCCTACTTTGCTGGTGGTAGTGTAAATTGGTTCAACCTTTATGGAAGACAATTTAGCAATATCTATAAAAAATTACATACATATGATTTTTAACTCTGCCATTCTACTTCTAAGAATTTATCCTGCAGATGAATAAAGACATATGTACACTTTTTTCTATTTGTAATAGCAACAGATTGAAAGAAATTTAAATGTCCATCAATGGGGGCCATAGCCAACAAATCATGGTATATCCACCTGATGGGATACCATGCAGTAAAACAAAAATAATGAAGTTCCAGCGGGGCACGGTGGGAGGAACTTCCTGTAATCCCAGCCTGTAATTCCAGCACTTTAGGAGGCCGAAATGGGCTGGTCACCTGAGGTCAGGAGTTCGAGACCAGCCTGGCCAAGATGGTGAAACCCTGTCTCTACTGAAAATACAAAAATTAGCTGGGTGTGGTGGCAGGCATCTGTAATCTCAGCTACTCAGGAGGCTGAGGCAGGAGAATGGCTTGAACCCAGGAGGCAGAGGTTGCAGTGAGCCGAGATCACACATTGCATTCCAACCTAGGCTATAAGAGCGAAACTATGTCTCAAAAAAAAAAAAAAAAAGAAGTTCTTCTTGAGCTGATAAAGCACTGAGATACATAACTAAACAAAAAAAAAAAAAATCAACAATGTGTATCGTATCCTACCATTTGGGAAATAATACATACGTAGGCCAGGCGCAGTGGCTCACACCTGTAATCCCAGCACTTTGGGAGGCAGAGGTGGGAGGACTGCTTGAGCCCAGGACTTTGAGACCAACCTGAGCAACACGGTGAAACCCTGTCTCTACAAAAAAATCAAAAATTAGCTGGGCATGGTGGTGTGCACCTGTGGTCCAGCTACTTGAGAGGCTGAGGTGGGAGGATCGCTTGAGCCTAGGAGGTCAAGGCTATACAGAGACAGTCTGAATTCAAATCCTATAAACTTAAAAGTTTTCATTAGATAATAAATACATTAACGATAAACATTCAAAAGATAAGTATAGGCTCTACAGTTTGAGACCAACCTGGACAACACAGTGGAATCCTGTCTGTACAAAAATAAAAAGTGGGCTGGGCGTGGTGGCTCACACCTGTAATCCCAGCACTTTGGGAGGCCAAGGTGGGTGGATCACCTGAGGTCAGAGTTTGAGACCAGCCTGGCCAACATGGTGAAATCCTGTCTCTACTAAAAATACAAAAATTAGCTGGGCATGGTTGTACACGCCTGTAGTCCTGGCTGCTTGGGAGGTTGAGGCAGAATTGCTTGAACCCAGGAGGCAGAGGTTGCAGTGAGCTGAGATCACCCCACTGCACTCCAGCCTGGCAACAGAGCGAGACTCTGTCTCAAAAAAAAAATCTCAAAAAACAAAAACTGAATAATCAATGTTGCTGTGTGAATTACATGCCGATATAGAAATATTAAAGCAGGCCAGGTGTGGTGGTTCACGCCTGAATCCCAGCACTTTGGGAGGCTGAGGCAGGTGGATCACCTGAGGTCAGGAGTTCGAGACCAGCCTGACCAACATGGTGAAACCCCATCTCTACTAAAAATACAAAAAATTAGCCAGGTGTGGTGGCGGGTGCCTGTAATCCCAGCTACTTGGGAGGCTGGGGCAGGAGAATCGCTTAAACCTGGGAGGCAGAGGTTGCAGTGAGCCGATAACACACCATTGCACTCCAGCGTGGGTGACAAGAGCAACACTGTCTCAAAAAAAGAAAAAAGATTAAAGCAAATGGGAACAGCTTGAGAAGTGGTGAGGGCATAGCTAGTAAAGTGAGCATTAATACTGGAAGAAAGTTTTCCCATCATAAAGGCATTAGGAAGTGTTTGGTGTATCTGAAGAACAGCAAGGAGCCTGGGGTGAGGACCACAGTAGGACATGAGGTAACACGTACAAAGTGGGAAGATCACGAAATCTATCGTAAGAACTTTTTTTTTCCCCACAGGAGTGCTATGATTAATTTAACAGGATCCCTTGGTGTACTGTGTAGAGATAAAACCGTAGGGTAGCAAGGACAGGAACAAGCTTTTCTGATAAGACAATGCTGACCTTTGGCTGTAGCCCTTTCTCTCCTTCTCAGTTTAGTTATGTGAAATTTTTTTTTTTTTTTTTTTTTTTAAATAGAGACAAGGTCTCACTATGTTGCCCAGGCTGGCCTCAAAGAGATCCTCCAGTTTATCTCCCAAAGTGCTGGGATTACAGGCCTGAGTCACCACACCCAGCTGAACAGTTTTAGATAAAAACTTAGGCTGGACTTGGTAGCTCAGGCCTATAATCCCAGCACTTTGGGAGGCCAAGGCAGGCAGACCATCAGGTCAGGAGTTTGAAACCAGCCTGGCCAGGACAGTGAAACCCCATCTCTACTAAAAATACAAAAACTAGCTGCGCATGGTGGCGCGTGCCTGTAGTCCCAGCTACTTGGGAGGCTGAGGCAGGAGAATCACTTGAACCCAGGAGGCAAGGTTACAGTGAGCCAAGATTATGTCACTGCACTTCAGCCTTTAGAGCAAGACTGTCTCAAAAATAAAAAACTTAAATTCATGCAATGATGGAAGAACTGAGAAAATAAGTACATTTCAGCTACCTCAAATTATGTTATTTCTACAATCACATTTTGATCCCTTTTCGCTGGCTAGGTTTGCTTCAAAATACATTAGCACTAGAAGATGACAAATAACAGAAGGTCCATTGGTTTTAGTTTAATAGACATTTATTCCTTTAGTTGAACCTCTACACAATCAAAATGTATTACTTAAGATCTTTTCTTGAGAAGAAATTTAGGTCTCAAGAACTTTTATGAACTTGCTGAGTACCTCCTGGAAATCAATTAACTGAGCCTTTTGAAACCCCTAGAGAAGATAGGAGAAAACCGGGTTCAGAAAAATAAGCATTTAAATTAAGTCAGCAGTCAGAATTTAGAATTGGGCAATTCCTTGTCTACCTTTTTTTTGACACTCAAATTCACCCTGGAAAACAGTAGCCTAGCCTCCAGAGAGACATGATGCAAACAAAAATGCACTGGGGTGGTACTGCTTACAGCCAAAGCAGGCGCACAGGCGATGGCCCAAGTTTGTGGAATGCTAAAGATTTTTAGGGTAGTTTGGCCAGGAACAAGAGAAATAACTGCAAAAAACACATACGGCTGGAAACCATGTACTTGTATGACTTTTCCTTAAGCCTATGGGAGTGGACGGCGGGGGGGGGGTAACCCGTTATTTTTAAGACTGACTGGAGGAAGAATGAGGAACTTATAGCCAATTATTTTCCCCACCAATGTGACTGAAGGGATTCATGATCACAAATTAGTGTTATGGTTAAGTATTTTACGGTTGATGTCTAAGCTCACACTTGAAAGATACTTATCTAATGGTCACTGGCTGGCCAGCTTCCCACCCTAGCACTGATTACTAGCTTACCAACTTTGAGGCTAGTAATTTCATCTAACATTCAACTTCAAAACACGTCAGTGTTAATACCATTACCAGTAACCAATGAATGCCATGAAGCCATCGGCACTGAATCAGGAGCTTTCACCTTTTATGTGAACTTAAAAAGGTACTGTGGAGACTGAGGCAATTTTCTTCAGGCTAACCCAGATTTGCGCCCCTAATTTTCTAAATATAATCATGACATAGTTAAGATGTCCTCCTCTCACCCTACAATTTCTAAAGCAAAGCTCAAGTTAAAAAGCCTGTACCTGCCAAACTAAAAAACAATCCCAGCCACCTTAAACCAGCAGAGGATTGCCATCACCCCAATAAAGCTGCAGGTTTCATCACATGCACCAGACAAATCTACAGGGCTAGTTTCAGTACTCTTCTTTTAAAGAGTTTATTTTAAACCTATTATACCACACAGTATGTTTTATACACTGACATGTAACTCCCTAATAAGATAAAGCAAAGACAAAAATGTTTATCTTATTAGAAACAACATACACCATATCACGTATTGTCTTCAAACATTATTGCACTTTAACTTTAATTTGACAAAGCATTCATGAAACAATCAGCAGACTAATTTTAACAGACAAAGAACACCTGTAAGCAGACATGACTGTCCTAAATTGTTTATTAGGTATGAATTTTACAAACTTTACTTATATTAGCGGTAACGGTGGAGCTGGAGAGTATTGCGCCTTCTCCAGGCTGCCCGGCGAGAACCACCAATAGTGTGGTGGAACTTATGGCCCTTTCCAAGGCCACGGCTCTTTCGGCCTGCAGATGTCAGCCCACGCATCTCCCTGTGTTTGTGGACTGGTTTGGTGATCCACTGGGTGTCAGGATTTCTTCTGATAGCTTTATGGAATGGATCAATGAGAATAACCTCAAAAAATTTGTATGTGGAATCTTCGCCAACCCAGTAAGAATTCAGGACTCTTAGAGCCCCACAGTGGCGTCCAGCTCGCTCCTAGAATAGGAAAAGAGGCCCACCATCAGTCTCCCACATTGTCTATAGCAGCAAGTCAGAAAGAACTTTAATTCTCAACTCTAGCTCACCACCAGACTAGTCTTTTACTATTCAAGTATTTACTAAGCCTCTCTCCCCAGACTGTCTCCAGTAAGCATAATGAGATAAAGTAGACTTGTGCTAAAACGCCACACGTAAACATACACTGAAACACATTAATTCCCTTATCACTCCATTCTGGACTAGGGCATGAATGTTAACATCTGGCTAACAAAATTTAGGGTTTGGGGACCTTATCTTTTTCCAATACAACTGAGAGCTGAGAAATGTTCAGCTTTAACAATATTTAGTACGTATGTTAGGCTGTGCAGGCCACATTTGGTCTCTTCTGGATATTCCTGACTCTTTAAGAAAACAAAACACACACATTTGTAACAGGTTTACAAGTCTTTCAAGCAATCACTCTTTACCAAGATTAGTAAAAATCACAAACCCTGTTTTATTCAAGACAGCTCACCTAAGTACAATCAGAAAAGCTGCTTACATCTGCCTCTCCCACCATCTCCATGCAGTATTCAATGTAACTGCTACTCAAAATCATTTACCTCTGCAACAGACTGAAGGCTTCGAGCAAACTTCAGCTGGTTAACACCATGATGGACAGGCTTGCCGTAAGTTGCACCCTTAGGAACTGGGCGTTTTCGGCCACCACGGCGAACACGAATCCTATATATAACGTAACCTACACACAAACACACACAAAATTAGTGACTTTATAGGAAACCATGTAAGGCTTAAGACTCAATGGCTTGTCACTAACACTGCACCAAAAATACTTGGTTAGATAACTTTCCATTATCTAACGGAAAAAAAAAAAATAAAACACATTCCAGTCTTTTTCAATTAATCACACAGGAGGCACACTGTTGATTCTGCTTTAGTCTAAACTCATTGAAATTTGTAACCTTTGACACACTTGCCACTTTAGACAACGGTGCATTCCGTAACTGACCAGTATTGCTACCTCCATTCCGCCGAAGCCCTATGCGAAGACAGACACTGGGGCGACAGTGTCTTCCTAACAGCTGGTTTCCAACTTTTCTCGAATATAATTTCATCCAAGCACCCACGCAGTCAATCACGTACCTTGCTTGGCCTTGTAGCCCAGTCGGCGCGCTTTATCAGGCCGGGTGGGGCGGGGAGCCCTGTGGAGAGCAGAGAGCTGGCGGTATTGCCAGCAGCGGACCCTCAGAAGGAAGCGCATGACATCAGACTGCTTCTTTCTCCATAGCTCCTGGATGTACTTGTATGCACCCATCTTGGCTTACCTGCGAAATCAGACTGGGCATTAGATATCATCCGCTTGAAGTACAGTAAGACGACGACCCTACCCTTCCATCTTAGTTCCCCAACAAGCACAAGGACACCGCCGGGAATGAAAATGGCTCGGCACCAACCGCCGGGGACAGCTAGCCCAACCCCCACCGCAACGCCCACGGAGCCGCGTTCAGTCACCTCCGCAACCGCGGCGCGGAGCAGCGCTCGGCACGTTTTGGTGGGGGGAATGAACAGAACCAGAGCTGAGGACCGAGGGGGCGGGTGGCTGCGGCAGGCGGCGTCCCCAAGGGGGACCTGCAAGATGTCGCTGACACCACAGGGCAAGGAACTGCTGCCGCCACGGAGGATTAACTCTCGAGGAAAATGCATCTACCCCACCCAGCCGGCAGCCTCACTTAGGCTGCCTTGTTCCAGGCGCCCCATCTGTCAGCCCCACGCCTCCTCCAGACTCCCGGCCCAGCTTGAATTCGCGCCGCCATCATATCTTCGCCCAACCCGCCCCGGTGGGCGCCTCTCCACCCCCTCGCTGTCCCGCATCCTGACCAACTCTTGCCGGACAGGAGGGAGACCTATTTCCAAGGACGCAGGGTCCCCAAGCCTGGATGGCTGAAGAGGAACACGATCAAAAGCGGATGGAAGAGCAGATCCCTAATGAAGCCTACCTGATGGCTGCCGCCAGACGGAAAGGAAAGAGCTATACTCCCACAATCCTTTTTGGGCTCCTCCCCCACTTCAGCCAATCTCTTTCCGGTGGAAAGCTGCGGCCTCCCAGGGCCTCATGGGACATGTAGTTCTGGCGTCACGCCTGGTGGGCGGAGTTCTGCCGAGTGGCGCGCAGCCGCCCCTATTGTCCCGCCCCCTACTCCGCAGGATTCGAACCCGAGCTGCCTGGGCGTCTCGAAGGGTCAGAGAGTTGGCTGCGAGCCTTCGGCCGGCAAGCGAGCGTCGGCTACGATCCCGCAGCGAGAGGAGGCAAGTTGGGCTCCAGGCTCCAAAGCCGGTGGCCGCGGGTCGCGGTGGAGCCGCTGTCTTCGAGGTCACAGGAGAGAACAGGTTTGTTTGACGCACCGCGGGCTCTCCCCCTGCGGAGTCTCTGCGGGTTTCTCCAAGCTGCTCTGTCCCTCTCCTGTCCCCGCACGACAGGCGGAGAAATCTGGGCCCCAGTGCTGCGCTGAGACCCCTCAACGCTTCCCCAGCCCCCCAGGGAGGCCTTCACGGGGCCGGGGGCAACGCGGGTGGGGGCGCTCACTGCGTCCCTTTGGCTCCAGTCTGCGTGAAGCTCCCGCAGGCCCCAGCTCCCAGGGATTTTGTCCTAAAAAGGGTCACGGAGTGGGTGGATTGCGGGCGGCTGGGCGCTTTTTCTGCATACGGATTTCGTCCCAAATTTGCTAATATCAGAACCACAGTTTTTCAGAAAAGCAAAGTATTTGCCAAGACCTAAATAGGCCTTGGCAGGTGTAAATGTTTTAGGGAAGAAACGCCGAGAAAATGCTGGCATTTTGCGTTGCGTTTTTTAATTGAGAAATGGGTTACTGGCTTATTTTGCGTCTCCAGAATATTTTCATTTTTGATAGTCATGTGGTTTTAATTTCCTTCCAGATTATGCGTTCAAATGTGGCGAAGGTTTAAGAGGATCGTACCTCTTAGTCGTAGCAGTTTTGATTATCTTTTTTTTCCTACATCATAGTTTTCTGTATTTTTAAATCACAGCCTTACCTTTTTAAGAGTCCCCATCTGGTTCATTGATTGATTCAACAAATATCTATTAAGTGTCTAATACGTGCCAGGCGTAGCTGCTGGGGATGCCGCAGCAAACGCAGAAATTTTGGCCTTCTTGGAAACGGGCAACAGGCAGAAGCTAGCTGTGTATTGGGTTTGGTGAAATGCTACGGAAAAACGCTAAAGAGAGGGAAGTGATGAGGGAGTGTTACGGGGTGGGGGAGTTGCCATTTGGGATGGAATGTCCAAGTGAAGTCTTTTAGAGAAGGCAACATTTAAGATAGGACCTCAAGGATAAGAGTCTGGCAGTAAGAGTCGGGGACTGATTCAGGCAGAGGGAAAAGTGCCAAGACTGGAGCATGCAGATTAATAGAGGAACAGCAGGGAAGCTGTGTCGCGGGAAAACACAGTAGGGGAAAGTGGGAAATGACGTCAGAGCGGTGAAGTTTTTTGCATGGACTTTGGATTTCATTGGAAGATTTTGAGCAGAAGGATGACCTCATATGGCTTACATTTTTAAAAGGTAACTTGGATTGCTCCTTTTGATGCTGAAAGGAAAGAGAAAACAATGGAAGCAGAGAAACTGCTTAGGAGATTGTTAGTCTTCCATTGCTGCTGTAACAAATTGCAGAAACTTTTTTGGTTCATAACACAGATTTACCGTCTGTAAGTCTGTAGATCAGACTAGGTCTGTAAATCTTACTAGGCGAAAATCAAGGTATCAGTAGGGCTCTGTTCCTTCTGGAAGTACTAGGGGAGAATACATTTATTTCCTTGGCTTTCCCACCTTATGAAGCCTGCCTGAATTCCTTGACTCCTGACCGCTTCCTTCATCTTCACAGCCAGCAGAAGAGCATCTTCAAATCACACCCTCTGCCCTCTCCAGCACTCCTGTGTCTCTCTTGTAAAGACACTTGTGATTACAGTGGGCGCACCTGGATAATTCAGAGTAATGTCTTCATTTGGAAGTTCTTAATCACACCTGTGAAATTCTTGCACGAGTATGTAAAGTAACGTATTCACAGGTTTGGGAGATTATGATGTCTTTGAGAGACCAGGTGAGAGAACGTGGTGCCTCACTGGGCCCACTTCAGTAGTGATAAAAATGGTAAGCAGTGCAGCCCTGTATGTATTTCAGAGGTGAGAATGACAGACTAAAAAGTTGAATGAGCTACTCTAGGCACACTGCCTATGAGGGTAGTCCTGCAAAATAAAATATAATGAAAAATAAAGTTGGATGGATCATTTGGAAAAACGATTCTAGCAGTGTGAATAATCATTGCTGATTTATCAATCAGGCTTGCAGTTTTGTTTCTCAATTTGTAGTTGCTCAGTTAGCAGTTTTACAAGATTTGGATTTGGGTTTCCAATGGATTTTGAGATTCCAGAGGACAAGGGATGATTTCCGTGTTTGCCCCCTAGTTTGCCCCGATGCCTGGCATGATGGTAGGCCCTCAGTAAATGTTTGGTAAGTGAAAGAATGGTAAGCTAGAATCTGCATATTACATGTTATTTTGTGCAATATTGTGTGTAAAACCTGTTGAATATATGGATAAGTAAAAGTATTCCACTCCATATATAAAGTTGACATAAGTACACAGTGTAGGTGGCTTCCCCATGTGACAGTGTTTTTAGAGATTTGTAACATCTCTCCTATGATGTTAACAGTGTTTTGGTATTATGTTTTTCTGGTTGCATCAGAAAGTTGTGTTTTACTTATAAAAATAGAATGACGTACTTACACAGAGGAACAGAAGCACTAACAGTTTTGGGGAGCTGTTTCTGATGGCTCTTCAAAGAGGATGTTGACAAAGCATTTCACAGGAATGGTTGAGGCCACATATTCTCTGGTGGTTTTTTTTTTTTTTTTTTTTTTTTGCCTCAAGTTGGAGAGAGGAAATTGTATTTATTGTCTAGCAACGTTGTTGATTGACCTGGAAAGTAAAGCAATATGTATTTAAGACTACACTGGTTCTTGCCTATTAAGCATATTCTCTTAGTAATTTACATCAGATGAGGTTTAATAGGTCACAGGTGGAATTTTTTGCCTAGTTTCTTAGGGTAGGGATGTGGCAAGTAGCTGTAACTACTGCTTTTTGTGTTCACCTCACTGTGGTTGTATTCTATGGACAAGCAATTTCTAATATCATAGTATCACAGTGTTGAAAGAAGTCGAAAGGTCATCCATGTACTGCAGAGCCTTTCAAATTCTTGAAACCTAGATTTAATTAAGAGGCTTGGTTACCCCAGGATCGGTTCATGCGATTCAGTACCCATTCAGGGCACTGCAGATGACCACCTTTTTATATTTCTCAGGAAGTGGTGTACATTTATTGTGTTTGGGAATTAGGAAATAATTGTAAGTGCTTAAAGAGCCACACTTTTAGTAGTTTTTATTTGAAAATGTGAAAATAAGCATGAGAACCGCTTATTTGTAATGTGAGCTCCTACCATAGTTACATATACAGAAAATAAAGCATTTTTATCTATGTGTCATTCAAAATGTTTATTATTTTTTAAAGAATTCTTACTTTGATGGTAGCAAGTCACTAATCTGCTTTATGTAGTATTGTTTCCTATTTGGAAGGCAACCAGGAACCTAGAATATTTCAGCCATGCTTTGATTAATCACACTTATCTTTTCATCTTTGTTTTCTTTTTGATAGTGTAAAATATTTAATGAAGCCTGTCTCTTCCCTTTCTTTCCAAAAAATTATTAAAATCCTTAGCTAGTGTTTTGAGCTGCCTTTATTCAGTTACTTTTACTATTTGCTCATGATGAAGACTTCTTTGGTAATATCAAAATGAACTCCCCAATTTATTAATATACACACACAATACAAAACAATATTTAATTTTTAGCAAACCTTGTCTGTTAATCCTATTATCAACCAGTGAACAAAGTGCAATTGTAGTGTACTACTTTTATAGCAGATATAGTAAAATTACTTTCAAAGGTACTTTGGAAAACTTAATTTCTGAATTTCTCAGGTTTCTATTGGTGTCAGATTTTTCCAGTTTGCTATAGGCCCCGGCACTCATATTTGCCCCTTTTTTACAGAGGGTCTGTTGCTGTGAATCACTGGGTGTTTTTTTCCTTATAGCTGCCTATTTCACTCAGCTACAGTCTGTTGCTGACCTTTTGAGTTTATATATATATATATAAATTCAAAGAGACAGAGTCCTGATGTGGTGCCCAGGCCAGTCTCGAACTCCTGGCTCCAGCAGTCCAACCCACCTTGGCCTTCCAAAGTGTAGAGATTACAGACGTGAGCCACTGCACTCAGCCTCTTTTGAGTGTTTTGAAGATTGGCATAATGTGTGGATTAAGGTGCATATTTTTCAGTTGAGCAGGAAAGGGAGAGTAGTAAAAATTGATATTTAGAAATTCCACTGAGGGTAAGATATTTTCAGAGAAATAGAAATAACAATAGAAAAATTAGGATTTAGATTCCACAGCAGCCTTTTCTGACAGAATCGTGCTGTGCTGTCATTTTTCCCACACTCTAGATTTATTTCTTCTTCAGACTCTTCTCATGTGCCTACATGGCAGTTTCCTTTAACTTTTAACTATTATTTAAAAAAAAAATCGTTTTAAGGAAAGATTCAGTGGTATCATAACTTACAAAGAAATCACAGTAGGCAGAGAAGAGAGTCCTTTGATAAATGAAGTGACATTAAATTAATCATAAATTCACAGGTATCTGTAGAAAACCATTTAAAATAGGCTGCTGTTGCAGACGTAGGAAATATACCATAGATGAGCAATGTCACATAATGCTCTGCACTTACAAATAAAGGCTGAGAATTTTTCTATTGCAGTTAGGTTGAAAATATAGAAAGAAAAGAAAGTTCCCTAAGAGAAGTGATTCTCATGGAAGCCAGTGGTAAAAATATTCTTGGAAGATTTAGAATCTGAAGTATGCCACCCAGGAAAAAATGGTTGTATCACGTAAGTGAAGGCTAGTTGTCTGTTGGTAAAGTGCAGTGTACTACTTTGAAAATAAATACTGTGTTTTACTGTGCTTCAAAAATGGCAGTGTGAAATTTTTAATATGAGATTAGTGTGGTAGGTGTTTTGGGTCATTAAAAAATTACAGACAGAAAATACAGTAGAGAAGACTTGAGGAAATTTATTTGTGGCGTAATGTTTCCAGTGTTGGTAAAAAAAAAAAAAAAAAAAAAAAAAAAAAAACACAAAACCAGCCAGTATTACTGTGTAACACAGATGCATGCAAATGTAACTATTAGACTATCACCATTAAGATGTATTCTGCACTTTGAGAGGCTGAGGCAGGCGGATCACTTGAGGTTAGGAGTTTGAGACCAGCCTGGCCAATGTGGTGAAACCCCGTCTCTACTAAAAATACAAGTCTTAGCCAGGTATGGTGGTATGCATCTGTAATCCCAGCTACTTGGGAGGCTGAAACAGGAGAATCGCTCGAACTCGGGAGTTGGAGGTTGTAGTAAGCCAAGACTGCACCACTGCACTCCAGCCTAGACAACCAAATATATATATATATATATATATATATGTATATATATACACACACACACACACACACATATACATACAATATATATATTTATATATATATATAAATATATATTTATATATACAATATATATACACAATATACATATACAATATATACTATATATATTATATATATAAAATATATATATACAATATATATATTTATATATATATATTTTTTTGTATAGCTGATGTGGTGAGCAGAGGAGGATCTCTTGAACCCAAGAGTTGTAGGTGGTAGTGTATTGTAATTATACCTGTGAATAGCCTCCAGCCTGGGCAACATAGCCAGACCCCATCTCTTAAAAAAAAATGTGTGTGCTGTGTTGGGTTTTTGTTCTCACAGTCCAGTGCGCACATGAGTGCAGAAAGATACCCAGCATTCCTTTTGTCAGAATGCTTATTTAAAACTTTTTTTTTTTTCTTGAGATGGAGTTTCATTGTTGCCCAGGCTGGAGTGCAGTGGTACCATCTCAGCTCACTGCAACCTCCGCCTCCCAGGTTCAAGTGATCCTCCTGCCTCAGCCTCCCGAATAGTTAGGATTATTACAGGCGCCAAACACCACACTAGCTAATGTCTTGTACTTTTAGTAGAGACAGGGTTTCACCATGTTGGCCAGGCTGGTCTTAAACTCCTGACCTCAAATTATCTGCCCACCTCAGCCTCCCAAAGTGCTGGGATTACAGCCGTGAGCCACCGCACTGGGCCATGAACTTTATTGTTAGAGTTGTTTTTTTAATTACATTTATTTTTTATTTTGAGGTGGAGTTTCATTTTCATTCCTCAAGTTGGAGTGCAGTGGCATGATCTCAGCTCACTGCAACCTCCACCTCCCAGTTCAAGCGATTCTCTTGCCTCAGCCTCCGAGTAGCTGAGATTAGAGGCGCCTGCCACTACACCTGGCTATTTTTTGTATTTTTAGTAGAGATGGGGTTTCATCACACTGGCCAGGCTGGTCTCAAACTTCTGGCCACAGTGATCTACCCAGTGGATCACTCCACAAAGTGCTGAGATTACATGCGTGAGCCACCATGCCTAGCATTAGAGTTGTTTTTGACTGCAAGGAGTTGTGGTGTCCCTTTTAGCCTGGTTTATAACATGTTCATTTCTAAGTAAGTAGAAAATTGGGGGAAATAAGGAGGTAGTGGGAGATGGCAAACAGGAATGTAGAAATTTGAATTCTTTGTCAAATTATTCTGTTGTATTTAATGATCCTTTTTACTTTCTGCCTTGACTTCTGGTACCTTGCGTTCTGGAAAGCAGCCTTGAGGAAAATTGAAGGAAATGTTGCCTAACCTTGTTCTTTCTTAGTTATAAGTTGAGAGGCTAGGAGAGATTAATTTTCCTTTTCTTTCCAGTTTCAAGTGCATGGGCAATTTTTCTAGTGTTGTCTGTTCTTCCTCAAAAAGAAGTGTGACTAAGAAAGCCCACGTGACAGCCAGGTGCAGTAGATCATGTCTGTGATCACAGCACGTTGGGAGGCCAAGGCAGGTGGATCACTTGAGGTCAGGGGTGAGACCATCCTGGCCAACAAAGTGAAACACCATCGCTGCTAAAAATATAAAAATTTAGCCGGGCATAGTGGCGGGTACCTGTAATCCCAGCTACCTGGGAGACTGAGGCAGGAGAATTGCTTGCATTCGGGAAGTGGAGGTTGCAGTGAGCTGAGATCTTACAACTGCACTTCAGCCTGAGTGACAGAGCTAGACTCTGTCTCAAAAAAAAAAAAAAAGCCCATGTGACTACCAAAATCCAGTTTCTTCCTCTCCTGAGAAAAGACTGACATAAACTAATTAATGTTTGTTTAAAACATCATGCCCATTCTCTAAAAATTTTATCTTCAACCCTCCTTAAATTTTTACTTAAATGTTTATTTTTCCAGGTAAACATTGAGTAGGCAGTCTCTTTCAAGGATTTAAAAGTCTGTTGGATTCCTATAGGCTTAATCAGTATTGAAATATTCTTAATATAAGATGTATTTATTCTTTTTGAACAAAGATGTATTCATATCCATGTAATCTTTTTTTTTTTTTTTTTTTTTTTTTGACAGCGTTTTGCTCTTTCATCCAGGCTGGAGTGAAGTGCAATCTCAGCTCACTGCAACCTCCACCTCCTGGGTTCAAGCAATTCTTCTGCCTCAGCTTACTGAGGAGCTGGGATTATAGGCTCATGCCACCACGCCCAGCTAATTTTTATATTTTTAGTAGAGATGGGGTTTCACCATGTTGGCCAGGCTGGTCCCGAACTCTTGACCTGCCTGGCCTCCCAAAATTCTGGGATTGCAGGTGTGAGTTTACCCGGCCTGTATTCTTACGTTTATCTACATTGTCTCTGTGAGATACATAAGAAACTGATAATGCTTATTGCTCTGAGGGAGCAAATGGGAGACTGGGGAATGGGATTTGGAAGGCTGTACGTTATTCTATATCTCCTTTTCTATATTTGAAAATTTCCCCTGTGCATGTGTTACATATTAAATTGAAATATTGAAAGAAAAGGAACAGGTTGATTTCAACAGTGTGCAATTTCTGTTCTCTCCACAGTGATATCCTGAGAGAAGATGGGAAAGGGCTGCAAGGTTGTGGTTTGTGGATTGTTATCTGTGGGGAAAACTGCAATTTTGGAGCAGCTCCTTTATGGAAACCATACTATCGGTAAGATTGTGTTCCTCTAGTTTGTCTCTAAGTCCTGGGAGCTGTCAGAGGTCTTTTGTTGGTCATGGTATACTAAAAATGGTCGATGGCACAAAAAAGGGGAGGTATAATCCAGAAGGACCAGAAGATATTAAGAGGGAAGAAAAAAGGAGGGAAGAAGTCTTGATATTATTGAAATTCAAGAGTGCCTGCTGTAAGTTATGACAGGTAAGAAAAGAAATGGTCAGTGGCTGGGGTAAAAGGCAGAAGAACGTGTAAATAAAAAAAGAAAAGAAATGGCCAGTATGGGTATATATTCCTTTGTATGTATGTGGTTTTCTGTGTATTTACATAATGAATGGTGGTGTATGAGTCATAGAATCACTGATTTAAGAAAACATGACTTTCCACTGGGCATGGTAGCTCAGGCCTGTAATCCCAGCACTTTGGGAGGCCTTGGCAGGCGGATCACCTGAGGTCAGGAGTTCAAGACCAGCCTGGCCAACATGGTGAAACCCCATCTCTACTAAAAATATGAACATTAGCCAGGCATGGTAGCAGGTGCTTATAATTCTGCTACTTGGGAGGCTGAGGCAAGAGAATTGCTTGAACCCGGGAGGCTGAGGTTGCAGAGAGCCAAGATGGTGTCACTGCACTCCAGCCTGGGCTACAGAGCGAGACTCCGTCTCCAATTTAAAAAAAGAAAATTGTAGCCTGGGCACGGTGGCTCACGCCTGTAATCCTAACACTTTGGGAGGTGGAGACTGGTGGATCACGAGGTCAAGAGATCGAGACCATCCTGGCCGACATGGTGAAACCCTGTCTCTGCTAAAAATACGAAAAATTAGCCAGGCTTGGTGGTGCGTGCTTGTAGTCCCAGCTACTTGGGAGGCTGAGGCAGGAGAATCACTTGAACCTGGGAGGTGGAGGTTGCAGTGAGCCAAGATCACACCATTGTACTCCAGCCTGGGCGACAGAGTGAGACTCCATCTCAAAAAAAAAAAAAATGAACATGACTTTCCAGTGCTGCTGTATGTAGGTTTTTAAAAATAGAAGAAACAGTCATTTGGTGAGTATGACTTAATTTTGTGAATTGGGCTAGCTCATTCATTTATTCATTCACTGAGTCAAATAATTGTTAGTTAATATTTGCTATATGATACTTGTGATCAGGCCTTGGGTTACAGAGGTGAGACAGCATCTCTGGAGGTCATGGTTCAGTAAGGAAGATAGATATTTCTGGTTAGAAGGAAATGACATTTGTGTTAGATAAGTAAATAGAGATTGTCAAAGCATTTATTTCTGGCAAGTAACTTAAAGCACATTTCTGTTTTTCTGAGATAGAGTCTTACTCTGTCTCAGGCTTGAGTGCAGTGGTGCAGTCTCGGTTCACTGCAACCTCTGCCTCCCATATTCAACTGATTCTCCTGCCTCAGCCTCCTGAGTAGCTGGGACTACAGATGTGTGCCACTGTGCCTGGCCAATTACTTTTTGAACTTTTATTTTTTTAGTAGAGAGGGAGTTTCACCATGTTGGCCAGGCTGGTCTTGAACTCCTGCCCTCAAGTGATCCGCCTGCCTCAGCCTCCCAAAGTGCTGGAATTAGAGGCATAACCCACCACCCCTGGCCCACATTTGTTTTTCGTTAACCATTTTGATCAGCTCTGCTTCTCTTTTAGCTTTTTAAAGTAATATTTAATGATTGTGGTTAAATTTATATTTAGTGTTTATTATAATACCTATGTCAGTAGTTCACAAATTTTTTGGTTTCAGAATCCTTTTGCTCTGTGAAAACTTACTGAGGACCCCAAACAGTTTTTGTTTATGTGGGCCGTATCTTTCAACATTTACCATATTAGAAATTAAAACTGTGGCCAGGTGTGGTAGTTCACCCTTTTTTTTTTTGAGATGGAGTTTCGCTCTGTAGCCCACACTGGAGTGCAGTGGTGCGATCTCAGCTCACTGCCACCTCTGCCTCCCAGGTCCCGGTTTAAACAGTTCTCCTACCTCAGCCTCCCAAGCAGCTGGGATTACAGGCATGAGCCACCATGCCCAGCTAATTTTTGTATTTTTTAGTAGAGGAGGGGTTTCACCATGTTGGCCAGTCAGGTCATGAACTCCTGACCTTGTAATCCGCCTGCCTCAGCCTCCCACGGTGCTAGGATTACAGGCATGAGCCACTACGCCTGGCCATTAGCTCACACTTTGGTAATCTCAGCAGTTTGGGAGACTGAGGTTGGAAGATCACTTGGGCTCAGGAGTTTGAGACTAGTCTGAGACCTCATTTCCACGAAAAACAAAAACAAAACAAACCAAAAGACAGAAATTAGCCAGGTGGGCATGGTGGCATGTGCCTGTGGTCCCAGTTACTTGAAATGCTGGGGTGGAGAATCACATGGGAGGTTGAGGCTGCAGTGAGCCATGATCGTACCACCGCACTCCAGCTTAGACTCCTTGTCTCAAAAAAGACAAAAAAAGGAAAATGGAGACATTTGTAAACTACTTATTTTTTTCCTAAATGATGCTAATAAACTCATATTCTAAAATAACTTTATGAAAAAAATTATATTTTCAAAATAGTGAGAAGGCTGGCATTGATTTTTTTTTTTTTTTTTTTGAGACACAGTCTCACTCTGTTGCCCAGGCTGGAGTGCAGTGGTGTCATCTCAGCTCACTGCAACCTCTGCCTCTGGGTTCAAGCAGTTGTCCTGCCTCAGCCTGCTGAGTAGCTGGGACTACAGGTGCATGCCACTATGCCCCGCTAATTTTTTTTTGTATTTCACTAGAGGTGGTGTTTCACCGTATTGTCTAGGCTGGTCTCGAACTCCTGAGCTCAGACAATCTGCCCACTTCGGCCTCCCAAAGTGCTGGAATTACAGGTGTGAGCCACTGCGCCTAGCCATTGCTTTACTTTTTAGAAAATCCTTCTGATGTCCAACTTAATAGAAGGCAATTATCATGTCTATTAATACTTGCCTTTGTAATCTTTTGTGATGTGGTGTTTCAGTTGAAATATATGAAGAAGGCCAGGAGTGGTGGCTCACATCTGTAATCTCAGCACTTTAGGAGGCTGAGGCGGGCAGATCACCTGAGGTTGGGAGTTCGAGACCAGCCTGACCAACAGGGAGAAACTCTGTCTCTACTGAAAATACAAAAAAATTAGCTGGGTGTGGTGGTGCGTGCCTGTAATCTCACCTATTCAGGAGGCTGAGACAGGAGAATCACTTGAACCTGGGAGGCAGAGTCTGCAGTGAGCTGAAATCGAGCCATATGATTCCAGCCTGGGCAACAAGAGCAAAACTCTGTCTCAAAAAAAAAAGAAATACATGAAGAAAATCTAGCCTCACACAGATGTGTAGTTGGAAAAGGTAGGAGGAATACTTTAATAGCCTTTTCAGTTAATTATGAATATTTTTCTTTGGTATTTCACTAAAATTCAACAAGTGATGGTTATTTAAAAGTTATTTCAGTGTAGAATCTGTAATCATATTCGTGAACGTTTGGTACTCTGCTACATTAAAATCTCATTGATTGATCCTGCACTTTAAATGGGTCTTTTACCCAAGCGTAGTTTTTTAGCTTCATGACTTGGTCATTTGGAAAATTTTGGTCTCCCATATCACTTTTGTTAATATCACTACCAATTTCATCAGTATTGGGAAGCTATCAAGTTCATGATGATGGATACAATTCTCATTTTTGCTTGAAAGCTCAAATTTTATTGACAACAAATACTGTTACCATAGTTATTTTCCTTGAAATGATACAGACTTCCTTTATTTTTGAGAAAATGTTTGTCAAATATCATAAATACATAGTTTTTCTGTCATTCCTTCTTTTTAAAAATGACAGCTAGTTCAGCTTGCAATTCAAAACACACAAGAGATTTTCCTCGAGACAGTTACCATAATTGTATACAGAAATGCTTTATGCCCAAAACCTAAAATGCAATAAAATAAATAAATGGGAAAAATAAAAATAAAAAAATAAAGTGGTAAATAGCTTCTAGGAGTTCATATGTACTAAATTTCATTTTTCAGCCCTCAGCATTTAAAGAAAGAACTCATATTTGTCAAGCTAAGATTTTTATAAACTTGCAGCTTTTAATATATAATTGTATAAAAGAAATTAGGGCACTTAGAAAATATATCAATTAATTTTAAAATTGCTGCTGCCACAAAACATCAAGCATCCTCTTGCTGGTAGATTATGGAAGAAAAATATTATGAAATATAAGAACTCTGAATTTTAGCTATTGCCCCAAACTAAAAATATAGCTTTCTAGGTCATTGTGCCAGATCTGTGTTCATCTGTGTAAGGCTGCTTACAATCCTATTTACATTAAATATTTTTTGTTGATAAATACATGGAAAAAAAAAAAAAGAAATGCTTTATGCATAGTTCCCATTTAATCCCATAGAATATTGAAAAGATACATACTCAGGGCTTGAGATTTAATAAAATTAGTCATTTTTGTTGCTTCATTAAGGACATTCTTAAGTAAAACTGGCTATTTCTTTTTTAACCACGAGCACAAGATGGTAAAGAATCTAATGGCAACTATATCCTTAGTACCATTGACTTGATTTGCCCTAAGGTATGGGCAGTTTTACCCGCCATTGCTTTTGCACCATCAGTACAAATGTCAACACAGTGGAAAAGACAGATGCCTTAATATTATTATCAATATAGTTTTGCCCATGTGGATCCCTGAAAAGAGACCTCACAAGATCTCAGACCAAGTTGGAGAGCTGCTGGCATATGTAAATACAGTACAGTTGACCCTTAAACAGTGCAGGGGTAAGAGGTACTAACACCTCCCCCAGTCAGTTGAAAATCTGCATACAATTTTTGACTCCCTAGAAATTTACTAACAGTTTACTGTTGACCAAAAGCCTTAAAGCTGATAACAGAAACAGTTGATTACCATGTTTTTGTATGCTGTGGGTATTATATACTGTACTCTTAAAGTAAGAGATAAAATGTTATTAAAATCATAAGAAGCCGGGTGAGGTGGCTCATGCCTATAATCCCTGCACTATGGGAGGCTGAAGTGGGTGTAACACTTGAAGTCAGGAGTTCAAGACCAGCCAGGCCAACATGGTGAAACCCTGTCTCCACTAAAAATAAAAAAATTAGCTGGGTATCGTGGCACGTGCCTGTAATCCCAGCTCCTTGTGAGGCTGAGACAGGAGAATCGCTTGAACCCAGGAGGTGGAGGTTGTAGTGAGCTGAGATTGTACCACTGCAGTCTAGCCTGGGTGACAAAGCAAGACTCGCTCTCAAAAACAAACAAACAAAAAACACATGAGAGAAAATCTATGTACTATTCAGTAACTGGAAGTGGTGCATCGTAAAGGTCTTCATCCTCATGGTTTTTATGTTGAGTAGACTAAGGAGGAGGAGGAGAAGGATTGGTCTTGCTGCTTCAGGGGTGGCAGAGGAGGAAGAACATCCCCATATGATGTGAAGTTCAAACCTCTGTTAAGGGTCAGCTGTGTTCTCAGCTGAGCAGTATAGTATACTACGACTCTTTTTGTTTTGTTTTGTTTTCATGGAGGCTCATATTTACTTTGTCATTTCTTTAGTTTTGTTTATACGTTTTGCTAATTCTATTTTTTTCTTGGCTAGGTTCTTCAAGGAGCTCTGTGTTCTCTTACCTACCGTGGCACCATCATCATAGAACCTCCCCTTGTTTCCTCCCTGTTTTTGTTGTTGTTGTTGACATGGAGTCTCGCTCTGTCACCCAGGCTGGAGTGCAGTGGTGTGATCTCAGCTCACTGCAACCTCTGCCTCCCAGGTTCAAGCGATTCTCCTGCCTCAGCCTCCCGAGTAGCTGGGATTACAGGCATGCGCCACCACTCCCAGCTAATTTTTGTATTTTTACTAGAAATGGGTTTCACCATGTTGTCCAGGCTGGTCTCGACCTCCTGGCCTCAGGCAATCTGCCCACCTCGGCCTCCCAAAGTGCTGAGATTACAGGTGTGAGCCACTGCTCCTAGACTCTCCCTGGTTTTGATTTCCTGTTTCCTCCATCTCTTGTCACCTTCTTATGGTTTATACCTTGTTTTTTTTCTTGTTGGAGCACATTTTCTAGTACTTTTCTGGAGTTGAATAGGTTGTAGAGTGGAGCAGAACATCCATTGATGATGGCCTTCAAAATGCCCACTGCCTGGCACATAGTTGTGACCCTGGGGTTTCTGAATCGAGATATTTACTCATTGTGCTTGGGATTTCCTTTACTTCATATCTGTGTTAGGTTCTGTTTCTTCCTCTTTCTATGGTTACATGTTAATTTTTTTTTTTTTTTTTTTTTTTTTGAGACAGAGTCTCACTCTGTCGCTTGGTCCAGAGTGCAGTGGCGTGATCTTGGCTCACTGCAACCTCTGCCTCCCAGATTCAAGCGATTTCCCTGCCTCAGCCTCCCGAGTAGCTGGGACTACAGACGCCCGCCACTACGCCCAGCTAATTTTTTGCATTTGTAGTAGAGATGGGGTTTCACCGCGTTGGCCAGACTGGTCTCGAACTCCTGACCTCAGGTAATCCGCTGACTTTGGCCTCCCAAAGTGCTGGGATTACAGGTGTGAGCCACCGTACCCAGCCTGATTACATGTTAATTTTTATGGAGGGTCTCCTCAAATACTTTTCTGAAAAAATATACATGATACATGTTTTGAGGCTTTGCATGTTTGAAACTGTCTTTATTTTACACTAACGTTTGAATTGTAATTGTGATGGGTTTAGAGCTCCAGGTCAAAAATAATAGCCTTTCAGAATTTTGAAAGCATTGCATGTATGGTTTAATCAATAATTATAAGACAAACCTTGACAAAATCTCCACATGGATCAAGAAGTACAGCGTTGAGGACACGCCAGTGGCTCCCTGCGTTCCTCTCTTCAGTGGCAGCTCAGTCCTTCCCTTGACTTGGTTCATCATTCTCTTTATCTTTAATTGCCACATATGTATGTATCACTAAATGGTATAGTTTATTTTTGCCTTATGGATTTTATATGAATTAAACTCATCCACGTCTGGCTTCTTTCACTCAACATTATATTTGTAAGCTACATCAGGCCAGGCATGGTGGCTGACCACTGGAATCCTAACACTTTGGGAGGCTGAAGTGGGAAGATCACTTGAGCCCAAAAGTTTGAGACCAGCCTAGGAAGCATCAGGAGACCCCATCTCTAGTTAGGCAAAAAAAAAAAAAAAAAAAATTCAGATTCCTCCATTTTGCTGTAGCTGTGGTTGTTTACTTTTCATTGCTGTACCATTCTGTTGTATAAAGCTACCACTGTCTCTTCTGTCTTGATGAAGAGATAGTTCATGATGATGAACATTTGGGTTATTTCCAGTTTGGAGCTATTGGAAATAATGCTACTCTGGAACACTGTTGTACATGTATCCTGGCTATTACATGATAAATTCTGGGATGCATATCTAGGAAGGAAATTGCTGAGTCACAGAAGGTGTGTCTCTAACTTTACCAGCTTCCATTGTCTTCTTCTAGTGCTACTTTTGGGAATCTGGGAGCCATTATGATTCTCAATGCTTTGTTTGTGGAAGCTTTTCTGGGCTCTGTTCTTTGCTCCCAGTTGCTATGGTTTGAAGGATAGTGTCCCTTCCAAACTTCACATTGAAACTTAATCCTCATTGCAACAGCATTAAGCGGTGTGGCCTATAAGAGGTGATTAAGTCATGAGGGCTCCACTCTTCACCTTCTGAGGACTAATCCCTCCTGAAAGATTAGCATCCTTATACCAGGGCTTGAGGTTGAAGGGAGTGCTCTCTTGCCCTCTGTCTCTCCTGCCACACAGCATTTGACCCCTCCCAAGGATGCAGCAACAAGTCTCCATCTTGCAGTGGAGACTGGGCTGTAACAAGACACCAGACCTACCGGTACCTTGATCTTGGACTTCCAGCCTCCAGAACTGTGAGAGAGAAATTTTCCGTTTATAAGTTACCCAATCTGTGGTATTTTGTTATAGAAGCACAAATAAACTAAGACACCAGTGTTCTGAAATTTCAATGATGGTGTCATATAATCGATCTTTTTTTTAATTTTTATTTTTAAATGATGGAGTCTTACTCTACTGCCCAGGTTGGAGTACGGTGGCACAATCTCAGCTCACTGCAACATCTGCCTCCTGGGTCCAGGCAATTCTCCCACCTCAGCCTCCTGAGTAGCTACGATTACAGGTGTGTGTCAACATGCCCAGCTAATTTTTGCGTTTTTAGTAGAGATGTGGTTTCACTCTGTTGCCCAGGATGGTCTCAAACTCCTGACCTCGGGTGATCTGCCTGCCTTGGCCCCCTAAAGTGCTGGTATTACAGGCGTGAGCCACCACGCCTGGCCAATCTGTTTTCACTTACTGTAGTGGACACTTAAAGGGCCCCTTCTACATGGAAATGCGTGTTCTTCAGTTTTGAATTATTATGTTGTTGTTTTCTTTCCTCTGTGTTCTCTGCTCTTTTTGTCTGGAACTCTCTTTTTGGATGCTGGACCTTCTGGACTAGTCCTTGAATTTTCTGTTCGTAGTTAAAAATGAACACCTAGGCCCAGTGCGTTGGCTCACACCTGTAATCCTAGCACTTTGGGAGGCCGAGGCAGGCAGATACCTTGAGCTCACAAGTTTGAGACCAGCCTGGGATGGTGAAACCCCTCTGTACAAAAAAATACAAGAATTAGTAGGGCTTGGTGGTGTGCACCTGTAGTCCCACCTACTTGGGGGACTGAGGTGGGAGCATCACTTGACTCCAGGAAGGAGGCTGCAGTGAGCTGAGATTGTCCCACTGAACTGCAACCTAGATGACAAATGAGACCCTGTCTCAAAAATAAATAATGAAGACTTAAAAAGCCAATTGGAGGCCGGGTGCGGTGGCTCACGCCTGTAATCCCAGCACTTTGGAGGCCGAGGTGGGCGGATCACGAGGTCAAGAGATTGAGACCATCCTGGCCAACATGGTGAAACTCCATCTCTACTAAAAATACAAAAATTAGCCAGGCGTGGTGTCACACGCCTGTGGTCTTAGCTATTCGGGACGCTGAGGTGAAAGAATAGCTTGAACCCAGGAGGCGGAGGTTGCAGTGAGCCAAGATTGCGCTACTGCACTCCAGCCTGGCGACAGAGCAAGACTCCATCTCGAGGGGAAAAAAAAAAAAGCCGATTGGAAGGTCTAAGCATCTAGGGTTCATGACTTGGAGCTCCGCTAAGGTGATCTGGCAGGGGCATTTGCTGGGGAACCCTAGATGTCAGTATATTTAGGATTGTTTCCTTTTCCATTGGCCAGATTCTCCAGATTCCTCTGGATAGGAATAAAGACCTGGCTGCCAGTGTTTTGGGAGCAGAAAGGGAGAGCCGGAGGACTTCAGCATTCAGTATGTGTGTGTGCAGGCATGTCACTTAATTGCCCCGTTTTCACTGTGGAACTCATACCCCTTATCCCACAGTCCATATAACCTCTATTTAACCGTCTCCAGAGATTGCACCCTTAAGCCTTCCCTTGGTGTGCGAGATGGGTAGTTGCCCAGCAACATGGAGTGGGAGGAGAACTAGAGAACTGGTGGAAGACTCATGACTTCATTTGATCTTTAGAGGACCAAAATATCAAAAGGTCTGAGCTTTAGACCCCCTTTTGGAGAGGCAGGTCGGGGAGGGATAACTGGACTGGTTTTTTGGTGGATAAAACATCACATGACAAAACGCTTGGTAGTTTTTGCTTTTAAATTAATTTGTAATCAAAACCCAATAGGTTTGTGTCTTAACAGATAACCTTTAATTACTTTAAGGCTTAATTTATGACAGGATGACACAGACACATATATACATAATCAAATTTATGAACAATTTTACCTTTCTAAACTGAATACATTCCTTATGAGTTATATTGATGAAAGTAAATTTTTGGTTTCTCATGATCTCATCTGTGTATCATCATGTGATTATTCCTTGTAATCTAATACTTATGGAGATTTTATTTAATCTAATGCTCATGGACATTTCATGTAGGGCACCTGGAACAAATCATTCTACACTGTTTAGGTTGTTTAGGAAAACTGTAACTAGGGTTTTCTAAAAACTATAATGTATGATTGGGGGTATAGGATGTTATCCATGTGATTTTACCTCTGGATGTATCTCATATTTATTAATTTTAATTATAATTTTTTTTTGAGATGAATCTTTCTGTGTACTCCAGCCCAAGCTGGAGAACAGTGGCATGATCTTGGCTCACTGCAACCTCCACCTTCCAGATTCAAGCAATTCTCCCTGCCTCAACCTCCTGAGTAGCTGGGATTACAGGTGCCTACCACCATGTCTGGCGAACTTTTATATTTTTAGCAGAAACGAGGTTTTGCCGTGTTGGCCAGGCTGATCTCAAACTCCTGACCTCAGGTGATTTGCCCACCTAGGCCTTCCAATGTGCTGGTATTACAGGTGTGAGCCACTAAGCCTGGCTTCATATTTAAATATGAAGGTGGTTACTGGGACTATACCTTACCTGTCTTATCGGATGTCTCTCTGCTACGTATTAAAATTCAGAAAGTTAATCTTTTCCCTTTAATTCCTTTATCAAAAAGGGCTTATTGAGTATTTGCTGTGTACACAGAATGGTTCCTTTCACTCAGTAAACTTAGAGACTAGTTGAAGAGACAAACTTGCACAAATGTAACAAAGTGGTAAAATGCATTTTTAAAAGATCATAAGAAGGGAATTTTTGTTTTTATACAGAAGAAATATATTTAAAAATAATTTTGTTTAGGCCAGGTGCAGTGCCTCATACCTGTGATCCCAGCACTTTTGGAGGCCAAAGTGGGTGGATTGCTTGAGCCGAGGAGTTTGAAACTAGCCTGGGCAACATGGTGAAACCCTGTCTCTACAAAAAGTTAGCTGGGCATGGTGGCACCTGTAGTCCCAGCCAGGAGGGACTACTTGGGAGGCTGAGGTGGGAGGATCCCTTGAGTCCAGGAGGTGGAGGTTGCAGTGAGCTAAGATCGAGCCACTGTACTTCAGCCTGGGCAACAGAGCAGGACCCTGTTTAAAAGAAAAAAAAAAAAGTAAGATGTGATTATTACATGTGGTAAATAGGAAACGTAGAAAGCCGGTTTCTAAAGGACAAGAAAATACTGAGCAATTGACACGGCTTGGCCAAAAAGAGTAATTTCATTTCTTAATCCCAGGAATGGAAGATTGTGAAACAATGGAAGATGTGTACATGGCTTCAGTAGAAACAGATCGAGGAGTAAAAGAACAGTTACATCTTTATGACACCAGAGGTCTACAGGAAGGCGTGGAGCTGCCAAAACATTATTTTTCATTTGCTGATGGCTTTGTTCTTGTGTACAGTGTGAATAACCTTGAATCCTTTCAAAGGGTGGAGCTTCTGAAGAAAGAAATCGATAAGTTCAAAGACAAAAAAGAGGCAAGTGGATGTGTTAAAAATGCCAAATGTGAATTATACCATGTAAATTATAGCACAGACTTTTGGGTAGTTTATTTTCAGATCATTAGATTCTTAATATCTGTAAAACCTTTACAATTTTTTTTCTTTTTTTTGAGATGAAGTCTCGCTCTGTCGCTCAGGCAGGAGTGCAAAGTGCAATGGTGTGATCTTGGCTCACTGCAGCCTTTGCCTCCCAGGTTCAAGCGATTCTCCTTCCTCAGCCTCCCAGGTACCTGGGATTACAGGCATGTGCAACCATGCCCAGATAATTTTGGTATTTTTAGTGAGGACAGGGTATCACCATGTTGGCCAGGCTGGTCTCAAACTCCTGACCTCAAGTGCTCTGCTGGCTTCAGCCTTCCAAAGTGCTGGGATTATAGGCATGAGCCACTGTGCCCAGTCTACAATTTTTTTCTTAACCCAAGAAATGCAGGACTGACTGAATTTAGTCAGGACCAGAATTTGACTTTCTGCCTTTTGCTTGTTACCATGTACAAGTTGCATTTTAACGACTTCTTATCTCAAGTACTACATAATTCATTTCATGCTGTTTGGTATTGCGATTTCCTTGCGCTTTTTATTGTCTCCTTGGATACATAGGATTCTTGTCTTCAGCCTTACAAAAAAAAAAAACACCTAATAATTATTGGATTCTACCCATATACCACTTAAACATAAGGTTCTTACGCCTTACAATGGTCTGTAAAGATTTAGATTACCTGGCCCATGCCTATCCTTTTCATTTTGTCTTTGTCATCTATCCGTCTCTCACTATACTCCAGTGACACTGACACTGGTCTACTTTCTGTTTTTTTCAACATAGTAGTTTTGTTCTCCTATTAAGCTTTCTCAGTTGCTTGTTTCCATGCCTGGAACTCAACTCTCTCTCCAGATCCTCACACGGCAGACTCTTCATTGTCTAGGGAACCAGATAATATATGGGTTAACAATACTGGCTAGATGGAAGGAAAAAACCAAACAACAACAAAAAGTACTGGCTAGATGTTCTTAACCTAGATTTTTATATATTTTTGTTAAGCTTTTTATTTTGAGACAATTATAGAGTCACATGCAATTTTAAGAAGTAGCACAGAGAGATCCCTTACCCAGTTTGCCCCAGACCTACCATCTTCAAAGCTCTGGTACATTATAACCCGCATATTTGTGTTGATTCAGTCAAGATATGGAACATTTCCATCACCACAAAGATCCCTCATGTTACCCTTTTCTAGCTGCCCCACTTCCCTCCCATCTTCACCTTTGGTAACCACTAATCTGGTCTCCATTTCTATAATTGTGTCATTTCAAGAGTGTTATAGAAATCAGTGGTCCCCAACTTTTTTGGCACCAGGGACCGGTTTTGTGGATGACAGTTCTTCCCCAGATGGAGTGGGGGTGGTTTGGGGATGAAACTGTTCCTCCTCAGATCATCAGGCATTAGATTCTCAAAAGGAGCATGCACCCTGGATCCCTCACATGCGCAGTTCACAAGCTCCTGTGAGAATGTCACGCTGCCGCTGACCTGACAGGAGGCGGAGCTCAGGTGGTAATACTCGCTCGCTGCTCACCTCCTGCTGTGCAGCCTAGGTTCTATCAGGTCCTGGACTGGTACCAGCGATGACCTAGGGGCTGGGGACCCCTGATTTAAAAGCATACAATATGTAATCTTTTGGGATTGGCTTTTTTCACTCACATAATCCTCTGGAGATTGATCCAAATCACTGCATGTATCGGTAGTTGATTTCTTTTTCTTGCTTAGTAGTGTTCCATGGTATGTACCAAACTCTTTTTAACCATTTACTTGTGGTAGGACATCTGGGTTATTGATATTTAGAATATTAATCTACTTTGTAACTAGATACAGTATTCACAAAGCTCAGTCTTTATTTATTTATTTATTTATTTTCTTCTATGGACCTGTGTAGGCCACAGAAAAGATGTAAGAAGGCATGAAGGCTCCTCTACCCACTATTTCCCATCTGTCTGACCTAAACAGGCAAGGCAAATGCTATAATTATTTACTTGGGTATCCTCCAGAGACCCTTCTTTGCCCCACAAAAGTTGAAAGGTCAATGAACACTCATGTACTAGATATTTAAATCTTGGCTTCTCTGCTTCAATTTCCTCATCTGTAAAATGAGAGTAATAGTACCTTCCTCATATGCTTCAATCCCCCCATAGTTATATTAATTGAGTGAATGCTTACTGCGCAACTACTATGTGGCAGGCGTTGTTCTAGGTTCAGGGAATACGGTAGAGAACAAAACAGTCCATATCCCCATAAAGCTTCCATTTTGGGAGTGGGAGAGATGGTAAATAAATATATTTAATACATTACAAAGAGAGTGCTATGAGGAAAAGCAGAATGGGGAATGAGGGTGCTATTTTCTGTAGGGTGACTCAGCAGATATTTGAAGGAAGTAAAGGAGGAGGGAGAAAAGCTGCTGTCTAGAGGGAAGAGTGCCCCAGGTAGAGGGAAGAGCTAGTGCCAAGGATCTGAGGTTGGAATTTGCTTGCCATGTTCAGGAAATGGCAGAGAAGCCAGAGTGGGCTCGGAGGTGTTGTGGGTGATAAGGGCACTTTGCCTTTCACTTTTAGTGAGATCAGAAGGCACTGGTTTGGGTCAAAGAAATGACATATGACTTCATTTATATATTTTCATGTTTGGTTTTAAAAAATTGAATAGGTAATGTTTGCACATGGTTCAAAAATGAAAATCCTATCTGAAAAGGACTGTTCAGTCTGGTTCCCACTGCTGTCCTCGGCCACCAAGATCCTGCACATCAAGTGTGCTTTTTAAAATATTTTACCCCTTTACTAGTTTTGGGGCAGTTGTCCAAAGTTTCTTATATAAATACAAGCAAATAGGAGTATACATTAAAAAATATTTTCCTTTTTTTTTTTCTTCTCCCCTTAATTTCAGACAAGAGTCTCACTCTGTTGTCCAGACTGGGGAGCTATGGCGTGATCATAGCTCTTTGCAGCCTAGAACTCCTGGGCTCTGGTAACCTCCTGCCTCGGTCTCCTGAGTAGCTGGGACCACAGGCGTGCATCACCATGCTTGCCTAATTTTTTTTTTTTTTTTTTTTTTGGTAGAGACAAGGTCCTGTTATGTTGCCTGGGCTGATCTCCAACTCCTGAATTCAAGTGATCCTCCTGCCTTGGCCTCCCAAAGCGCTGGGATTACGAGCATGAGCCACCGTGCCTAGCCTTTTTCCCCTTTCTAACACCAGGTAGCATACTATCCTGTACCTTCTATTTTTCATGTAACATATCTTGGAGTTGTTTCCATATCAGTACCCAGATTTTTTTCTTTTTTTTTTTAATTGTAGAGACAGGGTCTTGCTATGTTCAGGCTGGTCTAGAACTGCTGGTCTCAAACCCTCCTCCTTCCTCAGCCTCCCACACTGTTGGGATTACAGGTGTGAGCCATCACACCTACTCCCCATTTTTTTCCTTGGTAACTGATGTATAGTGCTCATTGTGTGGCTATAGATGTATCATCCTTTTTTTTTTTTTTTGAGATGGAGTCTTTCAGCTGTTGCCCAGGCTGTAGTGCAGTGGCATGCTCTCCGGTCACAGTAACCTCCACCTCCTGGGTTCAAGCGATTCTCCTGCCTCAGCCTCCCGAGTCACTGGGAGTACAGGTGCTCACCACAATGCCTGTCTAATTTTTGTATTTTTAGTAGATATGGGGTTTCACCATGTTGGCCAGGCTGGTCTCGAACTTCTGACCTCAGGTGATCCACCCATCTCGGCCTCCCAAAGTGCTAGGGTTATAGGCGTGAGCCACCATGCCTGACCGTTTATTTAGGTAACACTGTGTTTCTATGCTAGTGGAAGAAAACTGATGATGAGGGGACTAAGTGTTGGAGTGACATCCTTGTCCAGGTAGAGGATGGGTTTCAAGGCAGAGTGAATGGCGTTGGAAGATGGCAGGTTGTTAGATGTGGTGGTGGAAGCATGTGGAAATTCTCTTCTAATTGCATATCTTACTGAAACAATATCAGCTGAAAGGAAAGTGGGGAAGAAAGAGTAGATACTGGAAATTGTATGAGAGGTCTCATTACAGAGTAAATGGATAAAATGTAATACATTTGCCGGAGAACACCCGTCCATTTGAGATCAGTGGCATGATCTGGGCCAGCAGGGTTGTATGCTTTTCTCCAGCTATTCAGCTAAATGGTGTAGGCACCGAGTCTGGTTAACAGTTAACAAAGGAGGGGTTTTGCCAGGTGAATATGGTAGGATAGTGGGGGCAAGGGAGTGAATAAAACTGGTCTAAGCTGGGTGAGGAGGAATGAAGGACATGAGTAGGGGGGAAGGACAGTGATGAAGGTAGTAGAGCCAGTGGGTTTTATGTCCTTGTGGTGTTTAGAATTCTTGCACTGGGGGCATTAGGCATGACTGGGAAGGCAGGAGTCAGAGTGGGATGCCTGGAATTGAAATGGAGAGCAGTTACAATGTCAAGGTCTAGGCTGGGTGTGGTGGTTCACACACACCTGTAATCCCAGCACTTAGAGGGTCTGAGGCAGGACAGCTGCTTGAGGCAAGGAGGTTGAGATCAGCTTGAGCAACAAAGTAAGACGCCATCTCAAAATTAAAAAAATAGCTGGGCATGATGGCGCACACCTGTGGTCCCAGACGCTTTGTAGGCTGAGGAGGAGGATCAGGATTGCTTGAGCCCAGAAGCTCAAGGTTGCAACCAGCTATGATCAAGCCATTGCACTCCACCCTGGGTGACAGAGAGAGCCTGTCTCTTTAAAAAGAAAAACAAAAACAAAACAGGTCTAGGATGTGACCATGGGAGTGGTGAATGTCTAAGGTAAGGATGATGAGACCATTGGAGAAGTCAGTGAGAGACCAGGTTACTGGAAGCAGCATCTGCGTGGCTAGTGAAGTCACTAAGAATTAGGACGAGTAACCTCGAGGGCGGGTTGACCATGAGCCAGGTCTGTGATGAGGAGCTAGCGGGACAGGCTTGGCTTTACTAGGTACAACAGACTGAGCATCAGCCTTCTGCAGGGGTTTTAGGGAAGGACACCATTGGAGGCAGCAGTGAGGGACAAGGAGGACCTCTTACCCTGACCTTGTGATGGTGGTAGGAGGGGAGCGATAGGGGAAACGGGACTGCAAGGCAACTGGGAAGGGTGGTGAAGGGAACATTGAAAGCAGAGGTGGAGGATGCAGTGGGGGTGGGTCTTGCTGAATTCTGAGGGGTAAAGTGAATGAGTCTCTGCAGTTGGGAGGAGAGGGAGATGGAGGTCACAGCAGGGGATGTACATGAAGATGAAAATCTGAGTGAGGAAGAATGACAGGGTTTGAAGGGTGAGATGAAGTATGAGGTTTACCAAGAAAACTGGAGCTCTGGGCTCACTTTCATCCTGCCAGCAAGGCATGGCCTTACCTGGAGCACAGGGAGCTCAAGCTCAACTTACAGGAAGGAAGAGGACAGTGGGTCCAAGGTCCGGTGAGTTAACTGCTGCTCCTCACAGGGGCTTTGACAGTTCTTGCTGCCCTCCCTCTACTGTCACAGCATCCTGTGTAATCTTTGTGGTCACTATCTGAAAAGCTGGTTGGGGTCTCTCTTCTCCTTCCTGAGCTTTACTGCTATATTCTGGTCAGCTGTAGTGCCTGATGTATAGGGAAGCATTTGTGTAAAATGTTCCTATTGGCCCATGCTTTTTTTCCCCCCATACATTTAACAGATACTTAGCAGGCACCTTTTTAGTACTGAGAATACTGTGAACACAACAAAAATTCCTGTTCTCATGGATACAGAATTCCTACAGCTCCAGTTCTTACTTTGAAGTACTATATTGCAAGTCTCTCATACATCAAGTTATAGCCAAACTGAAATAGACACATTGAAACCACCGTCTTTATCCTAGATGCCAATTTCCCAAGTCTATGTTCCATTCATACCTGAGCTGAGTAACTTGTTTGCTAACTGTATTTTAAAAAAGTAACTACAGAGCATCTGCATTTTTTCTTTTTTTGAGACAGAGTCTTGTGCAGTCACCCAGGCTGGAGTGCAGTGGCACCATCTCAGCTCACTGCAACCTCTGCCTCCTGGGTTCAAGCGATTCTCCTGCCTCAGCCTCCCAAGTAGAGGAAACTAGAGGCACACACCACCAAGCCCAGATAATTTATTTTCAGTAGAGATGGGGTTTCACCATGTTTGCAGGGTGGTCCTGACCTCAAGAGATCTGCCCGCCTGGACCTCCCAAAGTGTGGGATTGTAGGCGTGAGCCACTGCGCCCAGCTGAGCAGCTCCATTTTTAACAAAAATGCATTAAGGAGTAAGGTGATATCCTAATATCCACTCACACTGGAGAATCAGTTTAATGAGCAGTTTGTTAAGTGAGACAGTTTTCCTCATGTCTCCATTTTGTCTAGGAACTGATGTTGGCAAAGTACTAATATGATCTTTTCAATCCGTCTTCTTTCAGGTAGCAATTGTTGTATTAGGAAACAAAATCGACCTGTCTGAGCAGAGACAAGTGGACGCTGAAGTGGCACAGCAGTGGGCAAAAAGTGAGAAAGTGAGACTGTGGGAGGTGACTGTTACCGATCGGAAAACTCTGATTGAACCATTCACTTTATTAGCAAGTAAACTTTCCCAACCCCAGAGCAAATCAAGTTTTCCTTTGCCTGGGAGGAAAAACAAAGGGAACTCTAGCTCTGAGAACTAAAAATCAGTAATTCTACAATTGTGTGTTGAATAGTGATTGCCTTTAAGTGTCTGTGAACGTGGAGTAATATTACCATTTAAAACAGGCCATTTGTATCTACCTTTGGTCCTTAGGAAGATTCCTAAGGAAGTCATTTAATGCACTTTAGATGTTATAATTAATTACTTGGGCTAAGTTTATTATTGCCTGATATGAAAGAATATATTCTTACTCTCATTGTTTGAAACCTGTCTGTCTTTGAAATGAGCACCTTTGTTATTTATGTTGTACTTGTGAAAACACTAAAAAGTTTGGGTAGTTATGCAAATGCCCATATGTGTAACTTCCCCCCAACCCCAAGGTGTTTGAGAAGATATACTCATTCTGTGTAACATTATGCAAAATGTTAAAGTAAATGAACATAGCAGTATTAGGTGGTGGTTTTTAATATTGTTTATTAGCACAGTAACAAATGCAGACTTTAGTAGTCCACAACATATAACCAATCCACTGAGCAACTCCTATTCACGCCTTACAGTTAACAGCTTAAGGTATTTCACTACAGGGTTTCACAAGTCCTGATTCAAACCTTTTTAAACAAAGCAGATTGGCATATAAAATAAAACACAGTACTTCTTATATGGTGTTTTACAGCCACGTGTCCACTTTATATATATGAGATGACAGTCTCTAAAAACTCTGTTTAAATATCAATGTTCCCTTCCAAGAAGGGAAAACGAATTCCAATTGTTTTAAACAAAAATTATGTAGTCTTACAGGGACTTTACATAAATGGCCATGTGTGTGACCTGTACAAAAGTAAGCTGTTTTAAATTTACAGACTAAAAGCAACTGAACCCGAATGTCTAAATGTACATTCTTTTCTGTACTACATTTTAGCTAATATTGCAGAACTAATGACAATTTTAAAAGTTGCTATTACCAATTCTGTCTACTGTAGCAAGATACCTTAAGTTACAACAAAATCTTAGGAAATAAGACTGAATAATATCTGTTATAGAAATACCCTACTCTTTACCAACTTCCCACCCTCCCTTACCCCTTCAAAATCATAAGCAGCTCTTTTCTGTGACAGACAAATAATGTAAGAATTGTGAAAAGCCAATTTATGTAGCGTATCTCTTGGTCCACTGTCTGGCCGTTCTGTCATGTTCTGCTCTGTTGGTCATATACTGAGTGGCAATACTTCCCACCAAGGGGTCGGCTGGAAGAAAAGAATGTAGATTACTTTGGAGAAAGGAAAAGAACATTTTAAACTTTAGCAAATAAATTAGTGACAGCTTGGGCAGACATGTACAACAAAGTATGTGTGATCAAACCCATCTTTGAAACACCACCATGCTGGATATTTTTCTATTAAAAATTTTAAAACGTGGGGGAAGAGGGAATGCTCAGGCTTCAGTGTACTAGTCAGTCTTTATCTTAGTTCATTCCATTTTTCTCCCAACAAACAACACCCAATTGGAGTGTCTGTACTCTTATGTGTTAGGCTGAGTTCAATACAGACTGGAACGGTCAGGGCCCCAGGCTACAATGAATATCCAGCTGTGTTCACGTCACCTTTAGTTCAATGTCACCAATTATAGCATTGTGAATACCGTTAAGTCTTCAGGGCTGTTGCAGCACTACCTTTACCCTGGTTAAAGAGCCAGGCTGCCAGGTCAAAACCTGGACCTCCAATTAAGTATAGTGTTTCTCTGAATCTTAGGATCTTTAATAACTAAATTTATATTTGGTTTACCTAGAAAATCATATATATACATATATGTGTGTGTGTGTACGCATGTGTATTTGTATCGTGAATGTGTAGTGGTTTTTCTTTCTTTCTCTCTCTCTTTTTTTTTTTTTTAAGATAGGGTCTTGCTTTGGGCACCCAGGCTGGAGTGCAGTGGCATGCTTACGGCTCACTGTAGCCTTGAACCTTCTGAGTTCAAACGATCCTCCCACCTCAGTCTCCCTAGTACCTGAGACTACAGAAAACTCTTTTAAATGAAATGAAGTCCCAAAAAAGTCATAATAATCACTCAGTATTTAACAAATACCATTTTCAAAACTGAGTGCCATCTCAGTGGGGAATTCCATAGGCACAGATGAGGCTTGTGAGGCAGATGGCTCGACACTTAGAAGTATATGATCTGTTTTATAAGAACTGTATGGGAAGTTAACCAACAGAAAAAATAGAGAAGGAAGAACCTAAGGCAAACTTACGTAAGTCTTCAGTTTAAAATACCTTGTTGCTAGAATATACCAATTAATGAAGTTGTGTTTCTCAACTAGTAGACTGAACTTCTCTTGATTAAAACTTTCTTTGAAAAGCAAATTTTTATATTCACAAAGTTGTACAGAAAAATTAGTTTTGTTCTTTGAAAGCTTTTGAAAACAAGTATGTTTCAGGGGACGAAGAGTAAAACAAGGTAAAGAATTATTAAGCTTACCAGGATTACAGTCTGTGAGAAGTGAGCAGATAGAAAGAAGGACTTTAGAAATGGTTAGTGCTGGACTCCAATTATCTTTCAATATGTCCAAGCAAATAACACCTTGACTGTTAATATTACAATGATAGATTCTTGTCCGAAATGTAACCTAAAAAATCAAGGAAGTGTCAAACAGTATTTAAACAGCGAACAATTAAACTTTTTACTAAGTATTCTACTGAATGACCCTAATTAGAAACCAAAAAAACTCCCAGATATGTAGGTTTTAAAAAAAAAGGTGAATAAAAAGTTTTAATTAAAGCTGTCAGGAAAATAGACTTGTTTAATAAAGGTGATTAGAAAGTCTTCATTGATACCATTCACAGGAAACGTGTCAAGTTCATTTAAAATGTTATGTCCACTGAAAGGTGTACTTCCTAATTTCATCTTTGGCAATTTAAAATGTTTTAAATATTAACGTTTCCAAGTTTGAATAGCTAATTGTTGGCTGACCTCTTGTGTTAGCTGGCAGTACTACACTGCCTCAAAGTAAGCTTTGAGAAATACTGAGAATCATAAATACCTTTTGAAAACTGGAGTGCAACATAATGGGTACACAAAGATAATTAAACAACATACTTAGCAAACAATGACCACACACCCAGAAAGCTTACCAAATTTGAAGAGATATCTATTTCTGCTTTTTTCTGACCTTTACATCAGGTCCAGCAGACATCCTGTCTACCTAAATCACAGAATTTACTATTATAAAATCAAGTCTCCATGGATGCAGAGCCAGTAATGGGCAGGGGCCACAGCAGAACACAAGCCACAGGAGCATGTGTTATTTTGTTTGGTCTCTTAATTTTTATTTGTAAAATACACCGAAACACAAAGTAAAAATTATCTGTAATTTTACTAATTTTTTTAAAAAAGTGATTTTCAATTACTTCTTGTTGCTGCAATTGTACTTTTACCTGGCAGTCTACCTAATCCCTAAGAAGGGGTTTTCTTTCTGACTGAATGAGAATCATAGATGACTGAGTGTTAGGAGAGATGGGTGACTTGGGCAATCCCCACCTGTCCTAGAAAAAAAATTCAGGCCTAGAGGTAAGGAACTGAACAAGACCAAAACATGACAGGGAGGAGAACGGAATCCAGAGATTTCTCATTCTCTAGTTGTTGATGGTTCTCTGGTTGTCTGACCTGACCTGACCTGCCTTTTTTTTGGGTTTCACTTTGTTGCCCAGACTAGGCTCAAACAATCCTCCCAAGCAGCAGGACTACAGATGTGCACCACTGCACCTGGCTTGATACCATTTTTAACTGTTCAGAAACCTTTCTCTATGGGCTGGAAAACAGGAGATTAATTATAGGTTGCTGACATTACTTTCAGTAGCACAATTTTAAGCATAATCAAAACAAAGCACTTCTAGAATGGTCTCTGCCAGAAAAGGCAAAATCAACCTAAAGTATTTTGTGTATGTTGAAATACTCAGATCCATTTAAGACATAATCTAGTTTTTGTGATTAAACATTAAATTTAGAAAATCTCAACAGTCTCTCTCATGGGAATTAGTAAATTTGAGCATAAATCAAGGAAATGTCTTACCTTTGGAGGCTTGAACGGATATTCTGGTGTAAAAGTGATATCGAGAAAGAATACACCACCCTCGTACACGGATCCTGGAGGCCCTAGAATGGTTGATCTCCATTCATAGATGTTATCGCCTTTGGGACCAGCACTGTGAACAGTACATCAACAGATAAGCAGATGGTGGCACTATGCTTTTTTTTTTTTTTTTTTTTTTTTTTGAGATGAAATCTCACTCATCCCCCAGGCTGGAGTGCAATGGTGTGATTTCAGCTCACCGCAACCTCCACCTCCCACGTTCAAGTGATTCTCCTGCCTCAGCCTCCTGAGTAACTGGGATTATAGGCGCCTGCCACAACGCCTGGCTAATTTTTTATTTTTAGTAGAGACGGGGTTTCACCATGTTGGCCAGGCTGGTCTCAAACTCCTGACCTCAGGTGATCCACCCAACTTGGCCTCTCAAAGTGCCCACAGGCATTAGCCACCACACCCGGCCAACTATCCCAATTTTTACAGTGTATTAAAAAAGATTATCTCTCTCCTCCCCCTTTTTGTTTACTGTGTAAATTCTCTTTATAAAACAAGTACCAAAACGGATGCAGAACTGCAACAAACCCATAGCCACTATCAAGTAAACTGGATGATAAAAGGATGTTAAAACCATTCTAAGCCTACTTCCCTCAATTCTCAACCTGTCCTTGACACGTAGGAAAGTGTAAACAATACTTAAAATGAGAAACACATCTTAGCACCTAGAAGCTAAATTAGTGACAAATGACAGAAGATTTTGCTTAGAGCTACATCATTTATGACCATTTTAAGCATGGAAGTTTCATTTTCTGATCCACTAACTGGCTCTTCCTTGCTCTTCTGTCTTCGTAATCTCACCTTCAAAGGACTCGAATAGATGGCCATGCTGTTCACATTATAAACCATGTTAGCTGGGAGGAGGGGAATGGTAAGTATCCAGTTACAGGTTATTCAGTTTTCATTTCAACATGCATTCTGTAATTGGGTTCTCTAAATATTAATCATTGGGACATTCATCCAACCCTGTTAGCTGTTGTTATAAATCACTGTTACATACACTTGGGTCCACCATAATTTGGCCACCATACCATTCCAAAGCATTGTGTTGGCTTCTAGAGTGCCAACATAGTATATTCAAGTACGTTAATAAAAATTTTAAAAACTTAAAAACCTGTGAAGAACTTAATATACCTGCCCAAACCATTTAGTGGAATACTCATCCTGAGAAGAGACAAACACTTGGGAAATGGTCTTGGTTATTAATTTTAAAATATGCAGCATGGCTATACCATATACAGAGTGGTTAATTTAGAAGATTGTATCTCTGCGGGTCCTCACACCTTCACTATGAGCAGCTGCTTCAGGTACAATCGTGTTTCAGCCAAACAACTAAGTTCCGTGCTCAAGAGACTTGCATGATCCAGTCAATACTTAAAATTGGTTCCACAGAGCAAGCAAAACTACTGTTTTAAATAAATATACGATGTGAACTGGATTTATTCGCTCACTCACTGAATGCGCATGTACTAGGCAGAGGGCTAAACATCAGTGGTTTTGATACTGAACAAGACAGACTCCTTCAAGATGCCCTCTGCTGACTGGTTAAAAAGCCTGATGCCTGGCCGGGCGCGGTGGCTCACGCCTGTAATCCCAGCACTTTGGGAGGCCGAGACCATCCTGGTCAACATGGTGAAACCCCGTCTCTACTAAAAATACAAAAATTAGCTGGGCATGGTGGTGCACGCCTGTAGTCCCAGCTACTCAGGAGGCTGAGGCAGGAGAATTGTTTGAACCCAGGAGACGGAGGTTGCAGTGAGCCGAGATCGCGCCACTGCACTCCAGCCTGGGTAACAAGAGTGAAACTCTGTCTGGAAAAAAAAAAGAGTCTGATGCCTTCATTTAAGAGAAAGAAGAGATGAAGAGGGAGGGAATAAAAAGCCTACCCATGGCCCTATACTTTCCCCAGACCCATCACAAGTTTTTTCTTTCAGTCCGAAATTTGGTGTGAGAGCTCCAACAGAAACAGGTTAGGGGAATGAGCTGACTACAAAAGAGAAGCAGAGGGGAATATAAGTTGGGGAAGAAAACATACATGACATGGGGGAAAATATGGGCAACAGAATAGCAGGTAATGGGAAGAATGGGGCCCAAACTGGCTGTAAGAGGCAGAAGAGCTCAGACACCAACTGTCTACCTCACAGGAATGTTTTCAGAATAAAAAACAATAGAAGGCACCTGTGTAGAGCCACAGGCCCACAGTATTCTCTCATTAAATGGCAGTGATCACCATTATTACTAATCCTTTAATATCTCTTTGTGATGGGTGTTCCCAAAAACTATTAAAAACGTGTTTTACTTTTTACTTTTGCTCTGCTACCCAGGCTGGAATGCAGTGAGTGGCGTGACCTCGGGTCACTGCAGCCTTGACTTTTGGGCTCCAGGGATCCTCCCACCTTGGCCACCTGAGTAGCTGGGACTACAGGTGTGCGCCACCACACCTGGCTAATGTTTTCTGTTTCCTTTATATAGATTGGGGTCTCACTATGTTGCCCAGGCTGGTCTTGAACTCCTGGCCTCAAGCAATCCTCCTAACCTTGGCCCTCCAGAGTGCTGGGATTGTGTGAGCCACTGAAAAATTTGTTTTAGATTAGATATAGCGAGTGATTTTTTTTTTTTTAACACTGTCTACACCATGAACTCATACTTTTGTGTTTAAAAAAGATGACTTCATACTTTTACATGGTATGTGAGGGCAATTTTCACAAGGTGGACTGTAGGAAGAGCTCTTAATTAGCCCTCTAGAAACAGGCAGTAACTTCTCCAGTGAAATACTACCCTTACTGCTTCCTTTCCTGAGGTCAGAACCGGTTCTTAGTCATCGTAAGGTTGCCTACCTGCCTACATGTTTGCATCCCCTCAAAACTTTTATGTTGAAATCCTAACCCTCAATGTGATGGTATTAGGAGGTAGGTTAGGAGGGTAGAAATCCTCATGAAAAGGGTTAGTGTTTTTAAAGAGAACCTCGAAGCTCTCTAACTTCTCTGCCACGAGGATCCAGCAAGAAGACAGCTGTCTGGAAACCAAATGCATCCTCACCAGACCCGAAGCTGCCAGCACCTTCATCTCCTAGCCTCCAGAATTGTGAGAAATAAACTGTTGTTTATGAGCCATCCAATTTATGGTACTTTGTTATAGCAGACTGAAGTAAGAAAGTCTACAAATGCCAGCTGATACAGCTATGACACCTGGAGTTCACTGTTCAGTAGAGCACGGCCAGCTGCAAAGTGCACTATGTATGTAAATAATACAGAGGTTGCAGATAAAGAGAAATGCTCTTTTATCTAGTTTATGGTAAACACTTAAAGGCAAAAGCCTATTCTAAAATCTTTTTCTTGATGAGGAACTAGGGCCAAGAGTTCATTCAGAGAAGCTAGGCTCTCAAAAATCTAGTACTGACACTATTCCAAGCTGCCCCCTAAAAAAACACCAGTGCTCAGGAGTCAAACTGTTCACAGTCAACTTGGTAATGCTAAGAAACCAACCTAGAAAAAACAAGTGAGGGCAGTCTAACCCTAAAGGTGACATGTTTGCTGGGCCCAATTCTGCTAGTCCCTTAGTATACAAAAAAGATACAGCTTTACCAATATGTCACTACATGCAGTTTTATGGATTGAACAGAAAATTGGTGGTTCCCAGATTTCACTGTGCCTCAAAATCATCGATGGACCCCACCCCAGGCCCAATGAGTTTAGAATATCTAGAGGGGGACCCAAGAATCTGTATTTTAGTGCCCCACCCTGCAACCATAACCTTTAAGCAGGTAGTTTGCATTTGGGAACCACTGCTACAGGTTACTAGTGGGACCACCAGTTAGGAGCATAAGCTTTAACATTTACAGCTTGTCACCCGTGATAGCTTATCACCTGTGATAGAACCAGAAATCCAATTAAGATCACCATCTCTCTGTAATATGCTTGCAGTTTGGGTGTTGATTTTTTTGAAACTTCAGAAAAAACTAGGGAAAATTTAAGGAATCAAGTACACAACAACTACATAACGACAAATGTATTACAGTTGTGTTAAACTTCCAAACTGGAGAATAAAGGTGCAATATAATATGGAAAATAATTACGTGCTAACTGAAGTAATATCAAATGTAGTTGACCCTGAGGAAAATTCAATAGTGAGGGATCCCTACCTAACCTGTGGGCCCTCAGGAATTACTGTGAATGGTCTGAGAATCCACTGGAAAAGACCCAGCATTGTTGCCTGAGCTGCTATTGGATGAATTGCTCAATGTGTACTTTCCTAATCAGAGAATAAAAGAGAAAAATTCTGATACAGGGGCCTACAATTTCCTTTTTTTCCTAAGTTCTCACTGGAAATGTTAGGATCTGGTGGTCTACAAAGTGGGCAGGCAGCCCCATCCCCAGGGGTGGAGGGCAACGTTAACAACTCTCAGAAGGCCAGTGTCAGAACAGGGAATGAGAGCATCTTCACTTCAGGCTGTTCACGGGAAAGGTCTGTTCAAGCATCCCACCTATTTCTCGATAAAATGATCAGGTTTGCCCTCAGGTCACCTAAGTACACCCTTTACTAACCTCCTAGCTCCTCCAGAGACACTTTTGGTTCCACGACAAGAAATAAAACTTTAAACACTGGTTGAATTATACCGTAGAATGGTATGTCATTTAAATTATTAATTCAAATGATGAGTATGGAAAATCCTGAATTGGGAAAAGGGGAGTTGAAATACAGATATTAAAGATGGGAACCAAAAAATACATTCATAATTCATAATTTTGCATTTAAGTCTACCCTGTCTTCACCTGGGCACTCATTTTAATTGGGATTCTCTCAACTGGGTCATCTCGTTTTTATGTAATACAATTTTTTTAAAAAAGCCAAAGTATCATTGGGGTTATTACAGAAATAAGACTGTGCTTCCTTAAAAAACCCACTTATCCCTGTTTGAAGACGTTGACATTTAACTGCGATTAGAACCTTTGCATGAGAAAACGTCACTGAGAAAGGGGGGGACTGTGCCTGTGCTTTGCACATTTTCGTACACAGAGATTTAAGGTTTATTTGTAACAAACACTTTTCAAAATATAAGTAGAACACATATAAGGCAAAAAGAAAAAAGATAACAGTTTTTTTCTTCTGATCGAAATAAATATACTTT